ACCCCATCCCCATCTCCATCCCCATCCCCATCCCCATCCCCATCCCCATCCCCATCCCCATCCCCATCCCCATCCCCATCCCCATCCTCATCCCCATCCCCATCCCGGCCCCTCCACAGCGGCTGCTCCCAGCACTGGGGTCGCTTCCAACGCTCCCATTTATGACCTGGTGGGGATAAAAGGGGCTTGTTGGCGGCAGCGAGCAACTGGTGTGCGGGGCCAACTGTTGCCATCTGTCTGCTGGGGTGGGGGGGCCCGGCGGGGCTGGGGCCGAGCCGGGGCCGCGGTTTTGTTTCTCCTTTCATGCACCACTAAACTTTGCACCTTTTGTTTCCCAGAGAAGGGCTGAGAGCCGGGAGAAAAGAGGCCTCAGCGCCGCACGGGTCAGGGCAGAGCTCGCTCTGCTCGCCAGGGGGGCTGTGTACGACTCCTATTCTGTATTGTAATAGTAATTATTGCCGTTTGAGGGGTCTGTCGGGGTCGGGCAATTCAGTGCTGAGCCCCCTCAACCCCATCCCTGTGCCACACCCTGGGAGAGAAGCGTCCTGACATGTCCAGTGCCACAGTGGGCAGAACCCACCCCTGCTGGTGCCGGTGGGGGCAGCCCTTGGGGACCCCAGGCTGGGTGGCTTTGGAGTGACAACCATGCCCTGGCATCCCTGAGGAGTGCTGGGCACCATGCCCTGTCCCCAGCTGAAGCTGTGCCCCCACCCCTGACAGACCCCACGCCCTGGCAGTGGCAGTGAGGAGAGGGCAGGGCACAGGCAGCAGGATGGTGGGAGCTGCCAGAGGCTGCATTCACTTCCTCGGGGCAGTTCTCCTTCCCCTGGAGCCGTGTCTGGGATGGGAACGCAGAGCCCGGGGCAGGTCCCAGCCCTGTGTGAGTCCCAGCAGCTGCCTGGGTTTGTTCAGGGCTTTGAGTCCCTGCTTTGCTCGGCATCTGCTTCCTGCTGGGCCACATCTCTGGGCCCAGCCTGGAGCTGGTGGCTGGGACGGGCCCTGCCTGGCTGGGGGAACATGTTCCCAGCTCCTGGGAGCACTGGGGGGGCTCAGGGGCTCCCCCCTCTGCCACGTCTCCAGGAGTCACACCAGGAGTGTCCCACAGGCTGCATCCAAACTCCACAGGCGGTGTGAGAGGTGCTGTGTGTCCCTTGTGCATCTCCCCCCTTCCCATGGATACCAAAGCTATGGAGAACCCCTGCCAGTCCGGGCTGGCTCTGACAAGGCAGATGGAGAAGGATTTAAGGGTGACACTGGGATCTGTGCCCCAGGACCTGCCAGCTCATGTAGGGATATTTTGGGACATCCAAACATCCAGGCTGGTACCTGCTGTATCCCCTCTGCCAGGGCCACTCGTCCCTGTGGGGATCCCTGTGGGTGTCCCTGTGCCTGGCACAGCAGTGCCCTGCTCCACAGGGATGGGGCAGCTCTCGGTGTCACTGCTGGGGGGACACAACACCCAGTGAATGCAACACCCGCTCCTTTGGGGAACGGCCAGGAGATATCAGTGGGAACCAGTTGGAGTAAACAATCTCCCTGAGCCCCTGTCCCGGCGTTCCCAGCTGCCAGACGAAGGGCGAGGCCCCTCTTCCCTCTGACAATGCCCTTTTACCAGGGAGTCTGTGCCTATTATAGCGCCGGATAAAACCGGGAAGGGGAAGGGCTGAGCGGAGCAGCTGCCCCGGCCCACTCGGGCGCTGCTTTGTTGTCATTAAAAGGCTGGATTGGGATGGGACGTGGCTGTGGGGGCTGTGGGGCTGCCTCAAAGCTTGTGCCCCCTCCCAGCCCCCACAGGGGGATTCCACAAAGGGTCTGGCTGAGACCTGCCCCAGCAAGTTCCCCCTGGGTGATCAGCACAGAGCAGGGTGCGATTTTGGGGGGCAGCCCAGAGACGTGGAGCCTGCCGGGGGTCTGAGCTCTGCTGGGCTGAGAATTCCTTTTTCTTCCTTTCTCCCTTTGGAATGAGTTTGGTGATGGGGTCCATCTCCATCTCCAAGGCCGTGCTCGTGGATCCCATGGATGTCTGTGGTGTCAGATCAACCTTCCTAGTGCCAACCCGAAATCCTGCTGGGGCAGGAGGAGGGAGAGGAGTGATGCTGAGCCAGTACCCCCCAAACCCAGCCCCACCCTGTGAGCCCCCGGGGCTGTGCCAGCCCCCAGCAGCTTTAGGGGCTGTGGCAGGGCTGGGATGTGGGGGCCACGCTGCCTTTTGCAGCGGAGACAAAGCCTGGCTTGATATTTATGGCACGTGCGGCGGGAGCGTGGGGTGAGCGGGGCTGGGGACAGATGGCCGGGGAACAAAAGGGGAGGCAAGAATGGGAGCTGAACAGATTGGGAATTTCCTGCCCAAACCTCTCCCCTGTGCCCAGACACTTCTGGGGGCGCGTGGGGAACAAGGACACCTTCCCCCCCAGTGTTCCCCCCGAAACATTCGGCCCCTTCGGGGGGACAGACCCCCTACATGCTCCAGTCCCCAAGCTACTCATCCTCCCAGAGTGGGTGGAGAGAAAAATCCCCAAATCCCCAAATCCCAGCTCTTTTTGCTCCTGATGTAGAGCTGTGAGACCAGGACCCCCCCCATTCCCCCAAGGCTCAGCCTGTTCCTCTGTGAAACGGGGGTGGGGGGTCTCTGTGCTGGGCCCCTCCCTGGCGTCTTTTCTCGCTGCCTCCACAGTTTTCTTATCTCTTCCACATCAACGTGGCAGCTGCTGCAGCCAGAGCCCAGCAGCTTATTAATAATCAGCTTTTATTGCTGGCCCTGGCACGGCCGTAAAGGGCCCGGGGTGGTGGCACCGGGACCTGCCCACCCTGCCCTTTGTTCCCAAGACTGCCCCCCACGAGACAGAGTTTGGGTTGAATCTGAGCAGAATCGAGCAAAGGGAAGCACTGGAGGACGTGACACTTCCCTGGGCCGTGACTGCAAACACTCCCACGCTCGGTTTGGGGCACGGGGACGTGTCCAGAGCTCGTGTCCCTGGGCTGGGGGAGATGTTCTGCCCCACCCTGGGCCCCTCTGGCAGCGCTGGGGCAAACCCAGAACCTGCTGCCTCGATGCTGCTGCTTTTTTGTTTTTTTTTCTGTGCTTCTCCAAAGGAAAATATTTTGAGGGGTTGTTTTTAAACAGAAATTTGCACTTCCTGAGGAAACATCCTAAAGGGATGTTTACAAACAGTCTGGGAAGTGTTGGAGCTGAGGGATGATGTGAAGGGGGAGAGGGGGAAAAGGCAAGGGGAGGAATAGAATAGAGAAAAAAGGTGGGAAGAAGTGGAGGTGGAGTCTGGGGGTTGCAGGGGAGCTCTGGAGAAATCCTGCCTGACCCCATGGGGGGCACCCAGTGGGAGCTGCTGCTTTTTGGTGTCTCGTGCAGGGACAGCCCCAAGGTGGGTGCCCAGGTCCAAACCCCTGGTGATGGGGAGAGGCCTTGGGAGAACCCCACAGTCCAGATGTGACCTCGAGGGGCTGCAGCTGCTGGTACCCCCTGCAGCAGCCCCCAAAGCCCCCCTGCTCAGGGCTCACCTTCAGAGGGGCTGGGGAGGATGGTTTTTGGGTCGGTTTGGGGCTTCCCCCTCCTTATCCTGCTCTGTGGATCCGGACAAAGCCCTGAACTCCCCCCTCCTCCTCCTCCTTCCTGGTGGGATTTGGGCTGCTGGGGCCCCCTGGACCCCTCAGCTCCTCCCAGCAACAGGAGGAGGAGGAGGAAGGGGATGAGGAGGGGGGCCAAGCCCCCTTCCCTGCCATTCCCACCACAACAAGGCAGAGATTGGGCGCCTGTGGGCTCGCCCAGGACCAATGGGGTCTCTCTCTTTCTTTTGGGGAGGGGGAGAAGCAGGGCAGGGGGTTGCCCTGACCCTCTGCCCCCTCACCTCCCCCTGGCTGGTGTAAATCAGCAATCCCATGGCCCTGCCTGGATGAAGCAGCTGCTGGAGGAGTGTTGGAGCTGCTCCTCCTGGGTTTTGTTTGCTCCCCTCAAATCCTCCCTCCCCTCAGACTCTCCTTCCCGTGTCCCTCCTGGGCTTGCCCACCTCGCAACCCCCCCAGCCCCTCTGGCTCCTGCAGGCTGTGTTTTGGGAAGGAGTGTGGGTGCTCTGGGGCACAGACCTGAACTTGGGACCAGGAGGAGGTGGGTGTCAGCAAATCCTCACCGTGCTGGGCACCCCTGGGTGCAGGGCAGCTCCCAAACCTGGGTGCTGATCCTTGGGGATGCAACTTTGGGGAGGAAAAGTCAGGGCCACCCTTCCAGCCTGGAGAGGACCTCTTGTGACAGGCAGTGCCAACATCCAGTGATGCTCCTGAGGTCCTTGGCCAGCTGGGCATGTGGTGGGACCCCAAAGGAGGGGTCCCCAATCCCGGTGCCTCCAGGAGGATTTGGATCTCTGCAGGGAGTGGTTTTTGGCTGTGGGAGGCTGGGATGAGGATGGGGGTGTCCCTGTGCTGCCCTGGGATGCGGGAGGGGATGGGGAAGGGGTGGCCCAAGGGGATGGAGTGGGAGTGGGATCTTCTGGCCTCTCCTTCTGCCTGGCTCCTGCAGGAGCCTTGGCTGGAGCTGGGGGGCTGCCCCCAGCCAGGGACCAGGGATTTTTGGGGAGCCCATCCCCTGCATCCCATAGAGTGCCCGCGGGCTCTGCCTCCCTGGCTGCTCCCAGCCTGGAGCCGGAGGAGCCCATGGGCTGGGAAATGGCACTTTCTGGTCCCCTCCGCGTGAAATTACCACTTTTTAATCAGCCTCCAGCTCAGCTGCTAAAAACCGGCAGTGCTGAAGCCCCGAGAACACCCGGAAAACAACACCCAGCGGTGCCGCCCGCCCTCCCTCTCTCCGCTCACACCTTTCCAGGCGTATTTTCCCTTCTGCGAATGTCCTCGCAGGGACCCCCCCGGGATGCGGTGGAGCGGCAGCTCCGCGGTGTGAGGAAGGCACATGCCATGTCTGCCACAGCCACTAGTCGGCAATTCCAGCCTGGATTACGGCTGGGAAAAGATGTGGCCTGCGAGAAGGGAGGCTGCGGTGCTCGGAGCAGCCCCGAGCGGCGGCTCCTCAGACGCGCTCGGTGCAGTTTAGGAAGGGCTTTATTGGTCGGTTTGGTGCCTACAGTTCATGCTGGGGTGGGGGGTTCAGGGGGTCTCGGGGGCGGTTTTGCTCTTTGCATGCAGGTACAACGCGGAGGGTCGGGGTGACCCCTGCAGGTCATCCCCAAAGCTCAGCTGCCCCTTAGGTCCTCGGACTGAACTGCCCAAGGGTCCCACTTGGGTGGGTTTGGTGGATTCAAACGTGCTGTGGGTGCACGTGGTACCGCGGGAATTTTTTTTGGGGGTGGGTTAATTGGGATACTTTGGCTGCCTGGGCAGAGAGGGAGCTCAGAGCCAAGCTGGGGGTGCCCAGGCAGCTGGGGGTGACAGCACCAGGAATTTCCACATCCCTCAACCCCCATCCTGCCCTGAGCCGGTGGGCTGGAAGGAAGATTTGAGACCTGTAACCAGGCTGTTCCTCAGGGGGTTTCTCTCTGACTCCAGCAGCAGGAAAGGTTCCTCTCTTTTAATTCTGGAGCAGGAGGCTGATGGAAGAGGGGGGAAATGGAGGGGAAGGAGTGGATTTGTTCTTCCTCATCCCAGACCGAGGGATGCTTCAGACTGATGTTTTAACCCTTTGCTCCTGCAGCTCCCAACCTCCTGGATGCTTCTCCCGTGGCCAGGGGATTCAGATCTGCTGGTTCTGCAGGACCCCCCCTCCCCGAACCCTCCCCATGGGGGTGGGATGCTCAGGGCCAGGTTTGAGAGGTGGGATGAGCCCCGTCCCCACTGCATCCCACCCAACCCAGGGGAGAAGGTGTGTGTGGGGTGGCTGTGGTGGGGTCAGAGGGGGATTGCTGCTGGCATCTGTCCCACCCTGCGTGGCTGGGGAGCCAGGAAGAGGAAGAATTCTGGGACGAGGAAGAATTTGGGGTCGAAAGGCTCCGGCTGACGGAGCCCCCTGATTGCACTACTGCGAAGCCAGGTCAGGCTGAGAAGCTGCACTGAGACGGGCTGAGGGTCTCCCCAGGGTCGGGGGAGCCAAGTCCTGAGGGTGGGAGGGGTCAGATCTCGATGACGGTGGCCCGGCGCAGGCACAGGGGGGCGTCGGGGGGCACCGCGTTCCGCTTGATCTCGTTCCCGTCGAGCCGCAGGACCTGGAGCCGGGAGTAGTTCATGACGTCCACCACGGAGCAGAAACTGCTGATGGAGAACTCTGGGGAGGAGAGAGGGTGGAGCTGAGCACAGGCCTCAGCCCCCTCCAGCCTCCCTGGTGGGGCTGGTTTTTGGGGGGCGATGTCAGAAATGGCAAAGGGGCTGCTGTGTCGGAGGTGTCGACCTCTGAGAGCTGGTTTATGTTAAGGTGGGCAGGGAAAAAATCAAGGCAACCCCAAATCACTGTGAATTCAGACTCAACACGCTCCTCTCTTAAACTGAAAGGGTTCCTGATGCTCCTGGCTGCAGGCAGAAGGAGCAGGCAGGTTTGTGCCCATCCAAGGGTTTGGAAGCAGGTCCTTGGCTCTGTTGCCCAGCTGGGATGGAGCTCAGAGGGTGGAGTAGGATGGAAAACATTGCCTTTCATCAGGAATTGCCTCTGCAGCCTCTTTTTGAGCCTTCACAGGCTGCAGTCTCCATCCCCTGACCCCCCCTGGCCACCATGGGACCCCCAGGCAGCATGCCCAGGAGGAAGGATGTCCCTGTCCCCATCCAGACATCCCCTCTCTGTTCAAACGCTGCCAGCACCAGGCAGGGAAATTCCAGCCCAGCCCAGCCTGGGTTTGGGAGGAGGAGATGGAACAAACCCCAGCGTGCATTTTTTTTGTGCAGGATTTGGGACTAGAGGGCAGCAAAGCTCCAGGCCGGGATGCTGCTGGGGAAGGGGGACCCCTGAGCTCATGAACTGGGGGGCTGGAAGGGCACAGGCCCAGTCCAGGTGCACCCAGAGGGGTTGGTGCTGCCCAGCTGGCCCCGGGGGTGTGGGGAGGGTCAGTGGCAGAGGGTGCAGCGGGAGGAGAAGCGGCTGCCGAGCCCGAGCGGCTCCGTGGCATTTGTGGGCAGACGGCAACAGCTACAGATTTTGAAAGCAAACATTTGGGAATCTGTTCTTGTTTCTGTGTTTCTGTCAGTTCCCCGGTGCGGGGTTGTGTGTTTTCTCTGCAACACTGACACATCCCCGTCCCCAGCCCAGCCCTGGGACTCCAGATCCCAGGGGCTCCAGCGCCGCTCCGGGAGGGTCCTGCCCTTCAGGGTCTGGCAGGTGAGGGAGCAAGGCTGGATTTTTCCAGGAGATTGCTTGGGGGTTTATTTTTCTAGCTTATTCTTATAAATAGCAGCCCCAGAACAATCTGTTCCTGTTATTTATTTGTGTATTAAGTGGAGTGGATTTCAGTCCTGGCAGAAGATGCTGCGTGGAGGGCTCCGATCACTGAGAGCTCCCATCTGTCCCAGCCCCGGGCTGCAAATTCCACCTTCCTGCTCAAACCATGACCCCAGGCGGCTTCCCACAGGTTCTGCACCCCCACCTCCTCATCCCCTACTGCACCTCCATCCATCCCCTGCACCACCATCCCCTCTCCACCACGCCTTGGTTGGCACGTTCCTGCTCACCATTGATTTGGTTCCCCTGCAGGTAGAGGTTCTCGAGGTTGGTGTTGACCCGGGGGATCTTCTGGAGCCGGTTGTAGGAGAGGTCCAGCTCCAGGATGCTGCTGCTGTTGAAGGTGTTGGAGGAGAGGCCTTGGTTTGTCAGGCTGTTGTGGGACATCCGGACATAGAGCAGCCTGGGAGACACCTGGAAATAGTCATCAGGGATGGTGTTGATGTAGTTGTACTCTAGGTAAAGCTGTTCCAAGGACATTGGGAGCCCATCAGGGACTTTTCTGAGGTGGTTGTAGCTCAGATCAGCGAGGATCAAAGACTTGAGCCCTTTGAGGGAAGCCCCCATCTCAAAAATGAAGTTGTGGCTGAGGTACAGGGCTGTGAGGTTCTCCAGGCCCTCCAGAGCGTTGGAGGGCACCTTGGAGATCTGGTTGTAAGACAGGTGGAGCTCTCTCAGGGAGCGGGGCAGGGGGCTGGGCAGCTTGGTCAGGTTGTTGTTGTTCATGTACAGCCTCTCCAGGTTCTTGAGCTTCCCGAAGACCCTCTTGCCCATCCTCTCGCTGCTGATCTGGTTGTTGTGCAGCGCCAGCCACTCCAGCTCCGTGGCGTTGTCGAAGGCGCCCTCCTGGATGGCGGTGATGAGGTTGTTCTGGAAGTAGACGTACTTCATGCGGGAGGGCACAAAGGGCAGGTACCTCAGGTTGCGGGTGTCGCAGTACATGGCCGAGGAGAAGTTGGGGGGACAGTCACACTCCTGGGGGCACTGCCAGGAGGGCGCTTGCTGGGGCTCCGGGCCGGGCTCGGGCTCCGTGTCGGGCGCTGCGGGGTAGGAGTACACGTAGGGGGGACTCTCCTCCTCGTAGTAGGGCATGTAGTTGTAGGAGGCCACGCGGGACTGCCTCAGGTAGTACTGCAGCCATGCCAGGTCCTCCTCCTCATTGTACTGGCCCAGGCAGCCCCCGCAGAGCCCGGCCACGATGAGGACGGTGACCCAACACATGGTGCTGGAGGGACCTGCCGGGGGAGAGGTGGGGAGGAAACCATCAGCAGTGTAAAGTGTGATTCTGCAGGGCCCGGGAATGCAGCGGGGTGGGATGTGGGTGCTGGATGGGCTTGGTGGTGCTCGGCAGCAGGGCTGGAGAGCCAGAGGATCTGAGTGAATCCTACCCTGAAAAACCACAGCTGCTGACATCTCCTGTGTGCAGTTACCTGACCGTCCCCCTTTTCACCTCAAGGCTGTGAGAAACCTCCACCCCAGGGGAGATTTACCTGCAAAATCCTGGTTTATGGGTATTTCTGCTAGGAATGAGTAGAGGGTGGAGACCCACGGTCTGGATTTGTGTAAGGTCACACGAGGTTTGCTCTGAGGTGCCCCGGGGTTGGCTCTGCATGGGAGGGAGGAGAAGGAATTTGGATGCTCTCCAGCTGAGTGAATGAGAGGGAAAGCTGCCAGCTCAGGTTGATTTGGGAGCTCAAGGCGTGTTTTGATGGAGCTCAAGGCATCTTTCGGTGGAGCTCAAGGCATCTTTCAGGGAGCTATATTTATGCCACACTCGCAGGCGACACGACTCGCTGTGGGTTTCATCCAGCTCTCCCTTCCCCCATGAAAACGCAGGATGCTCAGGACTGATGTAAATCCTGGTAAACAAGTTCTGCCTTATTTTTGAAATGAAACCACTCCTAAGCTGAGATTTCCCCAGCTCAGCCCTGACAGCAGAAGGGGCAGCACCCGCTGGCCCCTCGGTGTGACCCGGGACAGGGAGCGTCACCAGACCTGGGGATGGGCTCTGCTTGTGACATCCAGTCACGAGGGCTGGGATCCAGGGGAGAGCAGGGCTGGGAGCTGGGAGCGAGGCCAAGCCATCCCTGACCCCCCTGGCTTGGCGTGGGCTTTGCAGCCACCCCATGCCATGCCCAGGGCACGGCAGTGCTGCAGCAGGAGGGACTCCAGGCACGGCTGTTCATCCCGGGATGAATGAGCGAGGCAGCTGGAAATCCCTCCAGGAAATGCGCAGGGCCGTGCTGTTGGGAGTGGGAGAGGAGTCGCTCCCTCCTGTGGCTCCTACATACGTGGCTGGGAGCTCATCCCTGCCAGCTCCAGGCCAGGGCTGAGCAGGGACCAGTGTCCCCCCTCGCCGTGCCAGGGGTGGCCGTGGGGTCACCTGGTGACCCCTCACCGTGTCCCCAGCCCACAGCACGGAGGGGGTGTCTGGCCTGGCAGACAAAGAGGGCACAGTTTGTGGGAGGCAGCGGCTGCCCTGGCACAGGAAGAAAAGAGGGATTGAGCTGGTGGTGGGCAGACATGGCTCCCTGGCTTTCTCCTCCTCTCCCTCCTTCCCCCTCTGTGTGGAAGCAGAGGAGACGTGATCCCTGGGGATGCTGTGTGCCACGGGGGAGCTTGGCAGTGGCAGAGGAGTTCCTCCTCCTCCTCCTCCTGCTGCTCCAGGGCACTGTGCCTGCTGACATACCAGAGCCGCCGGCTTCTCCAGCCATGCAGAGCCACTTGGCAGCCCCTTCCCAGGGGCCCCTCTGGGGCAGGACCCATCCACGGGGTCCCTCCACCTTTCCTAGTGCCTCTCTTCAACCTGCTGGTGACCCCAAGCCTGTCCCCAGCAGACACCACTGACCCTCTCTTCATTTGTGGGTGGCTTCTCCCCTCCCTGGGGGTCTTCATCCCGAGTTTTGGGGTGGGATCTGACCTGAGTGTTCCAGCCACGAGATCCATGTCACCTCCTGGTGTCCCTGCTCTGTGCCAGGGGCTGCTGAGCTAAGGGGGTCCGCTCCTCATTCCAAGAAGGAGCAGGTTTTGGAGCAGGGGGCTTTATGGACTGTGGCCATCCACGGACTCGGCCCATTGCTGCTGTGCCAGGCATGTAACCAGCTCCCCCTTTCCCTGGGAATGGGACGGGTATGGGGGCACTGCCAGCCCTGGATGTGCATGGGTGAAGGTGTCCAGCTCCCAGCAGTGGGCATGGGGCTGCCAGAGGGGCAGGAGGGGAGCTGGGTGGGATGGGAGGTGGGCAGGAGGGGAGATGGGCAGCGGGAGAAGTGGGCAGGAGGACAGGTGGGTGTGTTGGGAGATGGGCAGGAGGGGAGGTGGGTGGGATGAGAGGTGGGCAGCAGGAGAGGTGGGCAGGAGGGAAGGGCTTTCCCAGAGGTGTGGGAGCTCTGGCTCTTCCAGCTGTGCCACCCGTGTCGCTGGCATGTGCTTCCCGTGGCAGCCACGCGCCGGGCGAGGCACAGGTATGGAAATCAGGCTTCAGAAAAAAACCCAACAACAACAAAAACCCCCTAATAAATACAGAGCCGGACTTACCAAGGTGAGATCCTCCTCTCCAAAGCCTCGCTGTGCTGCTCTGGTGTGTCAAGCAGCATGGAGTGGCTCCCGAGCCGCACAGCCTGGTGCCCGCCCCAGATCCCAGAGCAAATATTGTGCTTGCAGGTCACGGGCTCGGCAGGGTTTTTGGGGAGTGACCTCCCAGCAGCAGCCAGTTTGCAGGAGAGACTGGAGAGACCCTAATGCTGTCTGGCGTTATAAATAACCTGCTTTTTCTTTCCTCCCTCTCCTCTCTCTCTCTCTCTCTCTCTCTCTCTCTCTCTCTCCCGTCTTTTCTCATAGGAGTGTTGGCACTTTTCAGGCTCTCTCTGTTTAACGACTTAGTGGAATTGGGATGTTGTTTTCAAAAGGGCTGTTGTCAGGTCTCCTGTGTTTCTCATCAGGGAGTGATGAGGAGGCCTCTGGCCAGATTAAAAAATATCGGATTTTGAGGTGCTGAGGATGGGATTCTTTGGGAGAGACAAGGAATTATCCTTAACTTTTACTGTACCAGCAGAGGAAACGTTGGTGCTGCTCTGATGGCAGCCTGGGCTGCCTCCCCAGGAAGCCTCAGTTTACGCAGTCCCGCTATTAAATATTTGGGATAAACATTTCCATGAACGATAAGGCTGCAGCATCCAAGGTAAATAAATTGCCTACCAAAGAGCCACTGTGACAGCGGGAATTCCTCTCCAGCTTGGCAGGGCAGAGATGCCAAGCTGGCATTTCTGCAGGCTGTGCCCATCCCCCGGGGATGAGGGGTCTCATCCATCCCCCTGGGGCTGAGCTGGGGTGGGGGGACGGGAAAGGAGAGAGTGTCCTGAGGGTGACCCGTGGTTGGGCAGAGGGTTTGGGGCTCTCTGTGCCACAAGGCTCATCCCAGTGCCAGCCTTGCCCTGGGGTGATGGGGGGTCTTGCGAAGTGGGGGAGCAGTGAGTTCTGTCACAGCCCCCCCAGTCCCCATCCTGGCTCCCTGTGCACTTTGGAGTCAGCTCCTCCAGCGCTCTCCAAGCATTTCCTCCCACAAGGAGAGGAAAGGAGGAGCCCAAACCGCCCAGCGCCGTCCCCTGCCCGGCTCCAGCAGCACGCCCGGGTCCTCCCAGGAGCCTGGAATCACTTAGTGGAGCTCAGCAGGTGCCAGCTCCCTCCGGGCTTGCTTTCTCCTCCCTTTCCATAGAGATTTCCCAGCCAAAACATCCCGTTCCCCTGGGGAGCCTTGCAGAGACCCTTATCACTGCCCAGCCCCGCTGGGAGGAGGAGGAGGGATGTGCAGGCTGCTTGGTGGCCGCGTTGGAGGGACACGCTGTACAGTGGGGACTTTGCCAGAAATCCTGTCTTTTTGGGAAGGAAGAGTGTGCCTGGAAAGCACAGCTCACTGTGCCGGGATCTGCAGGGAGAGAGGATTTGGAGACAGCCCTGCCTTCGAGTGGGACAAGAGGCTGGGGAGGAAAACCCCGGGAAAATGGGGCTTTTTTGGAAGCAACTCTTCATCCCCTCCAAACCTTGCTGTGGCTGCTGTGGGGCAGCTGCAGGAGGGATCTCCCCATGGCAAGGAGGGGCTCAAGGCTTTGGGGTCATGTGGTGACTGATCTGCTTGGAGGGGTTTGTTCCCACTGCCAGGGAGCCCAACTCCAGGGAAAATGGTGTGAGGGCAGTGGCAGCCAGGCCCTTCTGCTGCTCAGCACTCAGGTGGTATCAACCACCATCACATCTCTGGCAGCTCCAGGGGTCCCAGTGACCAACAGCCCCGAGGCTTTCAGGGCCTGGATGTTCTTCTGGCAAAGCAGACAGTCCCCAGCTCGGTTAGAAAAGGAGCAGGGCCTGCCCAGCTTCTGGAAGTTTAAAGTATTCCTGATCCAGGACATGCTCCCTTTGGAGGAGGCACCTGCCTTGGGTGCCAGGGCTGGTGATCCCTGGGGGATGCTGGGGAGCCCTCCCTGCAGGAGCTGGCCCTGAATGGGGCCATTCCCCAAGGCCACATCCCCCCTTCCCAGCCCAAACCAGGAAATAACAATGTGCTTAAGCTCAGTCTGAGTGTCCCCTGCAGTCTCCAGGACTTTCTGTTCAATCTCAGACTGACCAGATTAGAACTATCTCAGGGAAGTGAAAATTTACTGTCAGATGGACAACACACATCTTGGCTTTTTTCTCCATCCAGCCTTGGGATCTCATGCTCCACTTTTCCACCATCTCCCAGGCTTCTGGCAGGGCTCCCTCGCCTGGCACATGCTGGGTGTTGATAGGACCTCGATGCTCCTGCTCATTTCAGCCCAGCACAAACCAGCTCCTCTCGCTTTCCAAGTGATTCCATGAAGCTTCTTTGACATCTTTCCCCGTAAACACCAATTCCCCTTTGCTGAGGGTTCAAAGGAAGCCCTGAACTGGTGACAGGAGCTGGGAACATGCTGTCCTGCTTGCTGGAAGCCAGTGGTCCTTATCACCACATAATCCCATCCGGTGTGGTTATTCCAGTGATCCCTGTCTGGGTCTCATCACTGCCTCTATTGCTTTGCTTTGGTTTTCCAGCCCAAACTGATGTGAACAGGGACTGTTTTAGTTGGGTTTGCTCCAGTTGTTTTGATCAAATGCTTTGGAGCTTTTTATCTGAAACCACTGAATCTGGCCCGAGTTTGCCTTTAATCTGCAAATCTGGGAGCCGGGAGCACTGGCTCCCCTGTGGATGGACATGGATTTATCAGGATGCTTTTGGCACGGGGGCTGGATGCTTCACGGCGTAACAAAGAACCAAAACATTGCTCTGATGCTCCTGCTAAGGCTGGAGCTCGTTCTGCCTGGATGAAGGGAGGATTAAACCACCAGGAGCATCCAACGACAGCAACCCTCACAAACACGGCTACTCCGGCAGCTTCCCTTTTTACTCATGGAAAAGTTATTCCTGCCTCTTCCACGCTTCCAAGAAGTTTCAGCTTTGATGGAGCTGTTGGCTGCTCTGTCCTCCCACTCCTGCTATTTTCCTCTGATTTCCCTGTCCTGGGAGGGGGTCACCAGTCCCACAGGGCTCTGGATTGTGCCTTCCAGTCCCTCCATCCCGCGTGTTCTGCAGGTGATGCCCCAAACTATTCCACTTACTCTGTCTGAGCAAGGCTGGAGGTGCCAACGGATCCCTTGGCTCCTATTTGGACTCTTGTCACTGGAGTCTCCTAAAAGAGCAGTTGGGACCTTCACCCTGCAGGGATCTGCCTTTAAAGAACGAGGTCTGGGAGGGACCTGCAGGATCAGCACAAGCAGCCCTGTGTTCAACCCCCGAGAACACTGGTGTCCACGGGGCAGATTGGGATTCCCTGTGCCTGGGGGAGCACCCCTGGAGCTTTTTATCGTCTCAGATGCCCTCCCAGGGCTCTGCTGCTCCTGCTCAAAGGGCTCTGCTGGAAAAAGCTCACCTGGAAGACCCCACGGCTGCAACACAAGCAGGCAGTGGAAAGATGGGCAGGGAAACGGAGTCCTGAGGGGATACAGGCAGTTGGGGGGGGGTGCAGGGATCATTGGGTGCCTTTGGGCTCGGCCTCAGCTGAGCTGGGTGGGGGGAACAGCCTCAACATCTGGCAAAGGGCTGCGGCAGCGGCTCCGCTCCCCAAACGGGAAGGGTCAGGGAGGAAGAGCAGAGCGGACCCTCCCTCGACCTCCCTGCTCACCCCGGCCTCCCTTTTCCCTTTTTTCTTTTACAGCAATACATTCTTCAGCCCAAACAACATTCTTGAACCGAGATTTGAGGGAATCTGGAGGGAGTCGGTCACTCGGAGACGGAGCAACAGCCGAGCGAGCCCTGGAGCTCTGCTGGAAACTCTGACGGGGTTCTTTGGGCTGATGCTCCAGCCCCCGTGTCCCACGGGCCAGCCCCGGCTGCTCCCGGAGCTCCTGGGATCACCACATTTCCACGGGAGGTGCTCCACAGCCTCCCTTGCACGCAGAGAGCTGCAAGGGCTGAGTCCGGGCCGAGGGAGGGAGAGCAAAGCCCGGCAAAGCCCCCACTGCCCCTTCCCCTCCCCAGCTGGGACTTGGCTGCTGGCACTGGGACGTGCTGGGAGCCAAAGGAGGCTGGGGAAGCCTTTGCCCCATTCCACTGTAATTACAGGCTGCCCCTGGCACTCTGGAGCCTCAAGTAATCACTCCCTGGTCTCCGGGGGTCTGGGGATTATTATGGGGTGGGCTCAGCCCGCACAGTACCCAGCACCAGGAATGTCCCTGCAGCCCATTCCACAGCTCCCAACCCCCAGGACGTGGCTCTGGATACCCAGTGGTCTCAGCATGTGGGCTTTCATCCCCCTCCCTGCAAATCCAAGGCCCTGGATCTCTTAAATCCCCATTTCCAGGTCCTGGTGCCTCTCCCCTCACAGCATGGCTGGTGCCCTGGGAGAGGATGGCTCAGCACAAAGGGGGTCAGAGCTTATTACAACTGCTGTAAAATGTGTTTGAAAAGGTTAAGTGTCTAATTTGGAACAGAGCTGGAAACTCTGAAGCGTTTCCTCCTCCCGTCGCTCCCTCGCCTGGCCCTGCTGACACCTCCCTGGCCAGCAGAGCCTGCCTGCGAGCACACGGGGACACAGACTGCGAGCCCCGGGCTTTGCAGAGCAGCCAGGAGACTTTCCATGACATTACCCAAGTGCAAATCCCCCCGGGAGGGCAGGAGGGAGCTGCCAAGTCCCCAGGTCCCCCCAGGTGTCCTAGGGTTTATTGCCTGCTGGGTTTATTGGGGTTGTGATGCAGGTCTGTGCCCGGGGCTGCGTGGGCATCGCTCTGTTCTCCTGCTCGTGGGTGCCACGTGGTGCCAGGACCAATCCCAGCAGGATGCTGACACCTTCCCAGTCCCAGCCTGGCGCCCTGCTCCCCAGGGGGGTGATGGATGTCCAAACCCTGCACTCAGCCGTCCCAGGATGGACCGAGGGAGGGGTCAAGGGCACAGGCAGCTCCAGAGCGGGGATGGTGGCTCTGTGATTTGAGGCTGAATGAGGTCCCAGCTGCCTCTCCATGCTCCCCTCCGTGGCATCAAGGCTCTGAAGGCATCCAGGTGCTGTCTGCAGCTGTGCAGGGAGCAGAAGGAAAAAACGCAGCGTTTCCTCTCTCCGAGCCCTCAATTCATGTTTTCAAAGGCCCTTTGAATG